GCAGTTTTGTTAACACTTTTAAAACTTACTTCTCAAGGTTTTTTTAATTCCTATTAGGTAGAGAAGATAAATGCAATAATCATTTAATTAAAATGTCCTTTTTTAACCTAATTTAATGTCCTTTTTAACACTTTTAAAACTTACTTCTCAAGGTTTTTTTAATTCCTATTAGCTGGAGAAGATAAATGCAATAATCATTTAATTAAAATGTCCTTTTTTAACCTAATTTATTTATATATTTTAAAGTAGAATCGATACCATTTTGTATAAAAAAGTAAGTAGGGCAAAATTGAATGGCCACCTGTGCACAGTTTTTGATAACAGTTTCATTATATATAAGTAGTCGTTTGAATTTAATCACCAATTATACGAATAGGGTTCATTTAATTTTCAGTTGTTTAATGCTTATTAACATAGACACTGGCTTTCAGGTACATCCATGAAAAAGTCTAAGATTGTTAAATCACAGGACCTTGGTAGTCACGTTATTACCACCACGCAAAATTAAGAAACCTTACAATATTTTTCTTAAAAATATTGCTCCATGAACAGAAGGCCGTCACCTTAAAATAAAATACACCATTCAGTCTGCGATAAAAATATTCGGTTATTATTGTCAGATATCATTTGGCATTAAAAATAACGACATACCTATTCGTGCTTATTTTAAACAATTGTATTTTAATGGTTAATCCTTGATCCTTTTAATAAAATGCTAGTGTAGGCATTATCTAATCATTAATCTAATGGCATTATCTAATAATTTCAGTTGCTTTAATTTTTTAAATAAACGTCGAATTGTTCTCCCTGTTAGAGAAATTGAAATACTTTTTTGAAAGTCCCAATAAGTTTGGCGAAAAGAATGACCACCTTGATAACAATTTATAAGCGCAGTAGAATCCTGTAACAATTAAATAAATATGTAAAGGGCTCCGAAAAAAGGGGACCTAAGCGTCTCAGCAATAATTTTAGAGCAGAAAGGAAAGAACCGGCGGTAAATATAAGGTCAGAAATTCTGACCTGGACCATGTGCAGTCCAAAATGGTATATTCCATTGGATAACAAAAATGTCGGGGGGGGGGGGGTTGATAAAATATAAGAGTAAAATGATACTACAAAAAAATCGACACACTAACAAGCTTGAGTTTTAAAAGAATGTGTGTAACCAACAACAGCATACTGATTAATGTTATATGTATTGTTTTAAAGCTCAAAAAAATTGCTTTTAAATAATACCATATTGACTCAAATTGGACCTTTTGTTAGCCCATGTCGTATGCTAACAAAAGCGTATACTTGCTAAATATAAATATATTTCCTGAATTAATGCGAACACGTTAAACGCTCTATTGAAAAATTGCTTTTTTTGACTTATCCCCTTATGCTTTTTACCCACAGAGTTTTAACAAGTCTATAGGCCTACAAATATTTATAACACAAAAGAGTTAAAATATAAAAATGGAAAATAAACGAAAAACAAATAAATCAATGAACAAAATTATGTTTTTATGTTTTTAATATATAGTGTTGTCACCTCTTTTTATAATGACACATAAACACCAATTACGCATTGACCTAATTACATTTATCCACTTACGCCTCTATCAATTCTCTTACGGTGCTTGATTTTTGGCTCGGACTCATCTCTTAAGGTCATCCCAAACATGCTCGATAGTATTTAAGTCCGGGCTCTGTGGAGGCCAGACCATGGTCGGTATAACAACTTCATTTAAGTTAGAGGTGATTACTCGCGCGGTGTGCTTTGAGCATTACCTTGAATAAACATAAACGATCACCAACAAATCCCGCATACAGTACCACATCCTCTTGAAGAATGTCTGTGATGTAGCGGTCTGCCGTTAATCCTCCTCTAAGACCTCCACCAGGCACGAAAGCCATCTTTGTTTTGCCTCCTATTGAAATTCCCGCCCAGAACATCGCTCTCCTGGCCGCCTATACACCCACCGTCTCCTGTCATTGCCATGTAAGCACATGCTTGCTTTTGTCGGAGAATATAACCTGACTCCATTGGCCGAGGTCCCAATTATTAAGTTTATTAGCAAATTCCAGTATTTTTTGTTTTTGGGTTTCATTAAAATTGGGAGCTTTAGATGGCCTTTTTGGGGTAAGGTTGGCTGCCTTCAGGCGTCTTCTAACTGTCCAACGGCTGACTGCCACACCACAAACCTGTCTCAGCTCTTCTGTGAGATCAACACCAGTAAGTGTTCGATTTCTTAATATTTTCGTGACGAGAAACCGATCGTCCCTCAAGGATGTGACTGGTCTATGGCCACTTTCTTGTCGGCGGTTGTAGCCACCCGTTTCTTGCTATCGATATCATCGCGATGATTAATCCGAGATACGGCTAACTAACTTATATTGAGTCGGTTGGACACGGCCTTCTGGCTAAAGCCCTCACCTAATAATGCAACTGCCTGAGCTGTTTTGGTGGTAGTTGTATTCATTTTAATGTAATTACTCGTGGCTTTACTTTAATTAGCTTATGTTTATTAATTACGTTTGACAATTAAAAGCAATTAGTAGAGTGTAGGCCATTTACAAGGTCATTGCGCGGACCCATTCAAATTAGCAAGATTTGCGACACCCTGTTAATGTTGCATCTCTTTTTAATGCGTTACCTGATTATTGCTATAGTAACCTATTTGTATAGGTAAAAAAATAAGAAACTTATGGCATATCTAATATTTTTATTTTTATTGCCCAAACACTAAAACAGTAGGCAGAAATGCGAATGCATATAGTGAGTTTTTGCACCCAAGTGTATAAAGATCATAAACATGTTAGGATTTTTAAAAATATATCTCAAAACTCAACTGTTTCTCGCATTTCTGGATGGTCCAAACCCCAACCTCCCTGTTGGATAACCTCATTAAAGTTTATTAACAAACCTTAAACACTTAAAAAATACTACAAAAATATTTAGTCCAACGAAGCAAGAACGGGTACAGCTTACACCGTCTCACTGAAAATATGAAACGCTTTTAAACTCCCGTAAGTATCAGAAGAGCATGAAGTCTCAAATTAATTTATTTAAAACCGGGTAATTAAAAACTGCACATTAAATCAATGTTTTTGGTAATTCAAACCTGGTCAACGTTTTACCATTTTTTAATAAAATCTTTATTAACCCTGGAGTGGTGGCGCCTCCTGGCAGAATTTCAGTATCTTTATATATTTTTTCTTTTTAGCTATTGTTTCTCTTATTTGGATGGTGCCCTGGGCACGTATCCTACCTACGCTGCAGAAGGTACGCCACTGCTTAATATATTATATAGTTGATCAAATAAATACTAAATACCTACTAAAAACCCAAATTAAATTAACAAAGTTATACAAATAAAAAAAGGATAGTAAGCCAACAAACAATAAATAATTATAAAATACAACTAAAATTTTTAAAACAGTTCAAAATATATTATTAAATATTAAGGATCGCATTTTCTGTTTAGAACAAGTGATTGATTTGGAGATTATTAGGTACACTCATGGGCGTAGTCAGAGAGGGGGCAGGTGCCCCCCTGAAAGACCTGGCAAAAATTATCATTGGCAAAGTCACTACTAAATTGTTGTCCAATTCAATTATCTGTCGAAAATCATTCATTAAAAAGAATGTTGTAGGAAGCTTACCTCTTGTTTTTTACGATTATTTGTTATCTTTTGTCCCCCCTGCTAAAAATTCTGGCTACGCCCATGGGTACACGGTTATAATATTTATAGAATATCAGTCCTTAGACTCTTATCATAAGAGAGGCATTTGTGTTGTATTATTTTAAGATAAAACATTAAAACCACGTTCTTTCATATTTAACCAATTTATTTTGCGTAGTTTATTATCTCAATGTTGGTATTTTCGTAGTCCACAAACAAATTTTGCATATACCGCATCTGCCCAACTAAATACAGTCTACTACAGACAAATCCTACAATTTTGATTAAAAATGTCATTGTTTGCATATACAATTTTAGAAGTGCACTCCTAGATTTTTTTGACCTTAATCAAATTTAGGTTTGAATTATTAATAACTACTTATATTAATATTGGGTGTATTATTTGTTAGCAGCCTAGCTTTTTTCCACAAATACACATTTGACTTAGACACGTTTAAAGTAAGAGCATGATTAGTAAATACATTTAATAACGCATTTAGGTCATCATTTACATATTAAAATTTCTGCAGTTTTTATATCTTTAGGAGAACAGGAAAAATAAAGATGTATTTCGTCTCCAAACAAATGCTTATGCAATCGAGATGCATAAATTATAAAAATCTATTTAGATAATAAGATAGATCTTTTTTTGAACATTTTATCGTTGTTCCCACTAATAAGTATATAAGTAGTGTTTTTTTGATCCTTTGATTAAATAAATTACACTTAACCTTTAGTTAGTCGCGTGCTTAAGGTGTAAATAAGGCTATTGTTTAAGTTTTTTTTTTTTAAATAATCAATGAATTATTAAGCTTTGTTTTATTATTTCTACATAATTTTATATTAAGAAGTGAGGAGACAAATTGAAAAAAAAACCAAAATTATACTGAGACGTAACTTCACGCGGGGTGATATATGGCGACAAGGGCTATTTGGGTCAATTTTTCCATTTTTTTTCTAAAAATCCTTTTATCATTTTAACCTAATTTTGTTTTCAGAAGAGAACAGACAAATTAAAAAAACAATTGATGGGTGGATGAAGCTCTCAGAACCTTATTTAAGGAGTTAATCCACAAAACTTAAAGGTGTCGTTAGGGCCATATGGCCCCAGGCGACTAATTAAAGGTTAAGCCCTAGATGTCGGTTTAATTGCTTTCAACAAATTTAAACTTTAAATCATATCAACTAGTTTTTCGGATAATTTTATAAAAAAAAAAATTTAACTCTTCTTTTTATGTCAATAAATATAATAAATTCGGCTTCTGACTGTAATAACTTATACTATACCTATACTCTACAAGCACAGAATTCTGTGATACAAGTATATCTTCTTACCTGCAAATATCCAAACTAAAAGATTTAAATTTAAACTTGGTTTTTATATTGGCAGGAAATACTGTAGTCTTTCCTCTAATTTTATTGCACTTTGAATTTTCCTGCCACGATTTAATGTAACTGTTTCCTTTAAAACGAATGAGTTCAGCAGTCTCATCTTTAATATTGCTGCCAGAATGTATGGTCTCTCTTCCTGGAGAAGTATTGTTTTTCTACAATGATAATAAATAAACAATAAATTGTGATAACTGGTCACTGTTTTAAGCGTGCTACACAACTAGGCACCGACAGACAACTTGTTTAGGTCTTATTAGCGGTGATGTGTAAGCATGCTGGAAACACGCTGCCATGGCCTTATGTAGGCAAACAAGTACAGCGACAGCGGTGAGACATAATCAGTCACCCGTCTACCGTCCATGCGGACTTGGTCAACTATGTATGTTGTAGAACTGTATGAGTTTTATTTTCACTAAGAAGTATACGCAGCCATAGTGGGTCACGTTCGCATGGACGGTAGACGGTGGCTGATTACATCTCACCGCTGTTGCTGTACTTGTTTGCCCATATAAGGCCACGGTAGCGTGTTTTTAGCGTGCTTACACTCCACGGCTATCCGGCCCTGATGAGACCCAATAAGACCAAAACAAAACATAGAGCAAGGGTGACGTGGTATTTGGCCAGTTCTCACAACATAAACACTACATCTTAAGTAGAAAACCATTTTTTGAATACATTGTTTTCAAAAAATAAAAAACTTACGTATCTGAGATTAGCAAACAACACAGAATTTTCCCATAGGGTCATAGCTTTCGTCGTGTTTAATTTCGAAATAATTTGACTGCATATTAATTTTGAGGCGAAACCTCCAGTTACTCCCTTGTCCTTGCAAATTTTTATTCCGTCGAATAGATAGTCTTTCACTTTGGTTTTGAGAAAAATTCCGCTATTTTCGCCAAAGATTGTTGGAAGAGCATCGTTAATAGTTGGTAAAGCATTTGGGGATATTTCTTCAGCTGTCATTAGAAAAGACTAAAAACAAAATCCACATACAAATTGCAATTGCAAAGAAAATAGTCAACTGAAGTAATTTGCTACGATAAAAAGCAGAATCTAACAATTTAAAATCTTAATCATAATTTATTGCAAACTTAATTTTTTCATGAAATATTGTCCAGTATGCATATCTGCATGCAGATCTTATAAAATAGTAATTAAAAACTAAAAAACAATTATTCTTACATTCAAAGGGGTATTGATAATTGTTACAACATCTTCCTCTGACAGTGGTCTAGATCTATCTTTATCAAATTCGTATCTTTCATAACCGTTATAAGAAATTTCATCTGATGTTGAATTCCACTCCACATTAGTTTTCCAACGATATAAACTAAAATAACCATAAAGTAAATAAATAAATTAACCACAATATGCATATTATATTACTTGTAAATATAAGGACCAATTTCCTTAAGCTTAGGCTTGGCTCCTATTAAAACTTCGTCAGGATTTTCGATATTAAAAAAGTACACTTTGAAGTCAAATGGAAACGGCATTTTCATAAACATTTCCATTTGATCTGTGTCATTTTTAAGATTTTTAGCCTAAAAATATATATTTAAAATACTTCACTGCACTTTCAGCAGCGCGCTGAAATCCGATTTGCGAGGCCTTTTTTATGTTTTGGTTAGGAAAAAGTGCTAATAAATTGAATTATTACAATTTAGAAAATTAAGAAACAAAACCCGTCCTCTTCTCGCTTTCAGCGCTAAACTCCACAAAACGTTACGATAGGGTTGATAAGCGGAAGAACTACATTTTCTTTATAATAAATATACCTATACGTAATGGTAAAAATATTTTAATTCATTTGACGTCAGTTTTAAAGAAAACGTCTAAAGGCGAATGAATCTGAGGAAGCCGCTGAAAAGGCGATACACACAAGTGAAAATTTAAATTTAAAATCGGGTATCTTGAGGTTTTTGAAGCGCTGAATAATATTTTCATTTAAAATTGGGTATTTTGGAGGCGCTAATTAAAAAATTACATTTGTTTACTAATTAATTTTACAATACATGGTAATTTTTTACCGTAATGCTTGTAAAATAGTTAAGCCCGCCCAAATTTTTTAGCAGAAAAGGTTTATCTGTCTAATTCATCACTTTCCATCTTGATTTCAATTGCCACAAAACCTTTTTTAATGAGTCTAGTGAATTTTGCTAAATAATGCATGAATTCGATGCATTTTTGTCATTTTTTTTTTCTTCTAAAATTGTTATCTAAGTGTCAAGGATCTGCATTTTAATTTTTTATGGAACTTCGTATTGTACATATAAAAACCACAGAAAGAGAAAATAAAAACCATACAATAATAAAGGGTGACCAAATTTGACCTTTCGATTTAAACTGACTTCCATGGCTGTGTTCCGTAATTTACTGCCATTACTGTCAGTAATTTTACTGTCAGTAGCGGAAAAGGACCGTTCCGTAATTTATTCAGTACTGACGCACAGTCAAATTGGAACGCGCCTCAGTAGCAGCAGAAAGTGACAATGGTTACGCAAGGTTATGATTTGTGATTTACTACTGACAATTGACAAACTTTACTTTCGGCACAGCAGAGAACATAAATAAAAAATAAATATAACAGTTATAAGAAATATAATGTTTGGTTTATGGCAGAGAAATATGGAAAATTTAATGTTATCATCGTCCGCGTCGAAAAATGTATATAGGAATAGGAAATATAAAATTTCACTGACACCACAATAATAAGCCAAATACCAAACATTACTCTTAAATTCGTCCGCTGAATACAAATATATAACATTTTCTAGGTACTACCTATAGGTAGTACCACAATCCACACAACATGGATTGTGGGTAGTACTATAGTAGGTAGTTTCATATTCTGGGTCTTCGTATGCGTTCTCCCCGCCGACCTGCCTTCGTCACTGCTGCTTGTACTTTCAAGTAATATTTTATCATTAAATATTGAAATAATTAGTCCTATAGGTATTCACCAAATACCATTATATGAAATAATTTATATCCTTCACTTTATTTGACAGCTATTTTTTGTTTAAAAGTTTGGTTATGTGTTTTACTGGAGCCACAGCACCTCTCTGTCCCCAGTTGTTTCAGTAAAATTAATCGGCATTGCCTATGTTCCGTAATTTACTGTCAGTACTGTCGGTACTGAAAACGCATTCCGAAATCCACTTTCAGTTACTGAGCTCAGTGGTAAATACTACCCTTTTATAAATGTACGGCAGATTAATTTTACTGAAACAACTGGGGACAGAGAGGTGCTGTGGCTCCAGTAAAACACATAACCAAACTTTTAAACAAAAAATAGCTGTCAAATAAAGTGAAGGATATAAATTATTTCATATAATGGTATTTGGTGAATACCTATAGGACTAATTATTTCAATATTTAATGATAAAATATTACTTGAAAGTACAAGCAGCAGTGACGAAGGCAGGTCGGCGGGGGAGAACGCATACGAAGACCTAGTAATCTTCATTGACAGTTTTTATATAATGACATATGTCAAATAAAAACTGCGGTTAGTAGTTTCTTGGTCAACATCGAGCAACTATCCATCGAAGAACGCGTTTTTATTCTAAAAACTTATTACCAAAATAGAGAAAGTTTTGCTGAAGAAGATGTCGTACGCATTTCGGAAGAAATTTAGCACCTTCTGTTAGTTATTTAGAATTTTATTAAGAAATTTCAACAGACTGGGTCAGTAGAAGTTAACAGGCGTAGTGGTTACATTCGAGGTGTCCGATCAGAAGAAAACATTGCTGCGGTAAGGGCTAGTATTGGTGAAAGCCCGAAAATGTCAGTTCGAAAACGTTTACAGCAATTCAACATTAATAGATCAAGTCTGCATAACATTTAAAAGAAAGACCTTCATTTAAAATCTTATAAGGTACAGTTGGCTCAAGAGTTAAAACCAAACGATCATTTAGCAGGCCGTATGTTTTTTAATTGGGCCTTAAAAAAGGCAAGAAAATAACGATTTTTTCCAAAAAATAATTTTTAGCGACGCAGCTCATTTCAAAATTTGTGGATACGTAAACAAGCAGAATTGCAAAATATGGGGTGAGGAAAATCCAAGAGTAATACTGGAAAAAGAACTGCATCCTGTAAAAGTTACTGTGTGGTGCGGTTTTTGGTCAGTTGGTGTTATTGGTTCTTATTTTTTCCAGAATGAAGCTGGTAATGCAATTAATGTGGAAAGAATTAGAAAATATGGATGTCCAGAACATGTGGTTCCAGCAAGATGTGCCACTTGCCATACATTGGATGAAACATTGAATCTTTTGAGGGAGAGATTTGACAATCGAATAATTTCTCGAAGATCTGAATTTAATTGGCCGCCTAGGTCGTGCGACCTCACACCTTTAGATTATTTCTTGTGGGGCTTTTTGAAGAAAAGAGTTTATCGTAACAATCCTCAAACACTTGAACAGCTTCGAGTTAATATTATTCAACAAATTAGATAAATTAGAAAATTTAGAAAAAGAATGTTAGCATGTCAAAGAAGTAGAGGGGATCACTTGCCGGATATCATTATTAACCTCAACATTTAAACTTAAAAATAAAATCATAAAATCATAATATTTCAATAGTTTTTGTTTTTTATTATTAAATTAAATCGGAAGGTCAAATTTAGACACCCTTTACATACTTTTAGTGACATCCTTCATTTTACCCGAATCATTTATTTCGCTTTATAACAAAAATTTTAATGATTTTGTTTTGCCAAAAAATCGGTTAAAAGTCAAATTCAGAAAGTTTTTTGTAATTTTCGTCAAACCTACTATTTTTCAAGCTAAATAACTGCACTATCAAATGACAGGTATAAATCTCTTCTCACCCTTTCTTCTTGTTATTCTGTCAGTCGAAACCCAGCTAATATTTATATATAGATATATATAAATGTGAAATTTTGCAATTAATACCAGCGATAGTCTACTATGTTTACTACCCACTGAACATTATGGATGTGGTGATGTCACAGTGACGTTTAAAAATTGTCAATTTTAAGGCACATTAACTACGTTTTTTAGTGATGTTCAATTTACGTAAAAATTACGCTAAAAAATAAAAGGTGCTGTCGAGCACGTCACTATACCGTCTATTCTATGCCTTTTATTTTACTTTAGCGTATTAGGTGCAAAACAGAACGTACATTTTACGTCACCAATGTGACACATGATAAATATGAATGGGGTAGGTTTGCCAATGATGAACAAATATATGCCACATTAAATTTTTGTTGGAAATTTGAGTGTATAGGTACTTAGATAATTAAATACCGAATATAATTCATAATTTTAGATTAAACCGAAGGTACTTACTTAGAAACCAATGTAAGTAGGTACGACTAGGTATTATATTAATGACTTATTATAAATCCCAGAGTGATTTATTAATTAATATTACTGAATAATAATTATTCTATTATTATCCCATCGTGAGATTAAGAAACGTATATTTTATGTAAAATTTACGTAAAAAAGGACTCGGGTAATTTCGTTTCCAGTCGATATATCGGTATAAAAGGGGCCCTGTAACAGGGCATACTCTGTTTTCGTTGCGACTGCCATTTTTCAGTGTTCAACACAGTGTGTTGCCATTTGTTGCTGTGTGATAGAAAACTCATTGTTCTCCATAGGCGAGACTGAACGGTTTAGGTAAGTTGGCTTTATCATTTGTTTGCAACCATACGGTTATAATATAATTAATTAATTGTCCCAAAATCGCCATGATGGCGCTATTAGTGGTTATCGAATTTTGTTGATTTAAATGTTAGCGTTGAGTGAGAATTAATATTAATCAATGCTGTTAGACTTAAAGAAAAGTGTTTTAATCAATTTGATTTTTCAGTTAATACACCAGTGAACATGGGAGACAAATTTTGCGCCGAGCGACAGGCAAGATATACCTATAAGTTTTATTTACCTATTACTTAGATAACTTAAGTTATTAATGTTTGTTTTAGAAGCCAGTAGGAAATTATTTCGTCTGACTGAAAGTGATTTCGATAAAGAGAGCAAGGAGTTGTTCCAAGCAACGCTCATAACGTTTTTTGGCCAAATTTGGACATGAGAATGAGGCCGAAAATTAATTAGGTGGTACTCATATAATGTTTTATTTTTATTATTTTATTTATTATTTTTATAATTTATTTTAATAAAAAAAATATATTTCCAAAGTGGTAGTTTTATTTAAAAAAACGTAACTAATGCGTACAAGTTGAAACAAAACCTATACGTCCATATTAAAATGACATTTTTACGTCCTTTTGAAAACGTAATTTTTACGTCTGCTTATCCACGTAACGGTTAGGGCTAATTCACGGCCCAGGATCCGGACATAGGCACATCACAGCGACGTTTATGTGACGTTTATTTTACAAGATTCTTATACGTCACACTACAACCTTTGACGTTAATTTTACATATATGTGTATATATACAGGGTGTTTCATACCAGGAGGCGAAAAATGAAATTCTATATTCAAAACGTCATTCTAAATAAAAATCTTTAATACTTTTTTGTTCTATCATTTTTCGTTTTCGAGTTATTCGAGTTCAAAATTTTGAATTCAAACAATGAAAGGATAACAATATGCAATAATAGGATTCATAAATCTAGCAACCAAAATATACATCCATATTGTATATGTGGTCTTCTGCCTTATTTGTCATACAACCTGTCAGTTTATTGTAAATTTATAGACAAAATGGAATTTACGAATGAAGAATATGCAGACATTGTTTTTATTTACGGGTATACGCAAATGGAAATGCTTCTGCAGCTTCCTGAGAATATCCTGAGAATATCTGCGTAGATTTCCAAATAAACGACAACCATCCTGCCGTGTATTTTCAGACGCATATCAAAGACTCCGAAGAAATGGTATTGGAAGCAAGCAGGAGGTGCTAACTTCAGACACAATGCTGGTCAAGAAGAGCAAGTAATTGACGCTGTACTTAACGAACCCGGCATTAGTACCAGACGTATTGCTAGTAGGCTGGAAGTTTCTCATAGCTTTGTTTGGAGAACCATACACCGAGAAGTATTGCACCCGTACCATAAGCAAAATGTTCAGCATTTGCAGCCAAATGATCACGAGCCACGACTTCTGTATTGTCAATGACTGCTTCGTCAACATGAGCAAAATCCAAATTTTATTTCTTCTATTGTATTCTCAGATGAAGCTACTTTTACCAGAGATGGTATTAATAATACCCATGATTAGTATTTTTAGGATTGGTATCTCTGTTTTACATAATTTGACAGTTTTTGTCAAATCATTAAATTTAAACCGAGGAATATCAAACTCCATTGTATTTATGTGATTTAAAAAATGTCTCTGTTCAAATAATTATCCTACAGGACAATAACGAAATACTATTTTGGTCAAAAACCTATTAAAAGTTAATATTTTTTGATTTCTTAACCACAAATATTAATTTAGTTTTATAGCTGCCAATATAATAGAAATATTTGCCAACTAAACCCCTAAGTTTGCAACGTTGCCGCAGTCCAGATAAAAAAAAATGAACTGTATTATAAACTTAAATACTTATACGTTTCCATGGATGTATATTTTAGTTGCTAGAATTATGAATCCTATTATTGCATATTGTTATCCTTTTATTGTTTGAATTCAAAACTTTGAACTCGAATAACTTGAAAACGAAAAATGATAGAATAAAAAAGTATTAAAGATTTTTATTTAGAATGGCGTTTTGAATATAGAATTTCATTTTTCGCCTCCTGGTATGAAACACCCTGTATATATATACATATATGTGTATATAATGCGCAATTTATAAAAAAAAATTGTTTGGTATGCAAAAACTAAATTTTTTTAAATAATGCATTAATGCAAATTTGCGCAAAATTACCCACCTATCAGGGTAATTTTGCGCATCATAGGGGAAAAATTTGCGCTTTATAGAGAAAGATTTGTAGGTATCTAAATAAACCGTTTATTTCTATAATATTAATATATTAAAACATAAAAATAAAACAAAACTATTTTCCAGATTACGAGGAAAGATCATATAAAGTTGTGTTATAAACATTTAAGCGATTGGACAGAAATTTAAACTTAACTCGTAGCGGAAACGA